TGATGGTACACAATACCAACACTCAAAAAGAAATGAGGATAAAAACCATGAAATGATTCTATTTAAGGTTCCCTTAGATTGAAACAAGGTTGAGAACCAGTACTTTAGTTCTAATATTTTTCCTGTCTCTGGGTCTATCTATTTAGCACAAAAGGTAAATGGAACTACCAGAGGCCAAATCTTCCCATGCAAAGCATATTTTCTAACACAAGCTCAAAGATCATAAAGAATGTAAGTGTTCCTGAGTATCTTGTAAGACTGAAGGAAAATGAAACATGCTCACAGGATAGAAATGTGAAAGAGCTTTACCCCTTGTGTACATTGTTTTCTTCTGAAGCTTGATGTTCCAATTATACAGCTGTGTTTACGACCAACATGGTTCACATCTTCTCTTTTCCGTTTCAGAGTTCTAGCAGTGATTGGGCTGAGTCTAATAGCTTTGGGGACAGGAGGTATCAAACCCTGTGTGGCAGCTTTTGGTGGAGACCAGTTTGAAGAAAAACATGTAAGAATTCTATAATGTCTATATTTTCAAGAATGTAAAGCAGGCCTCAGAAGGATAGTTAGACATTTGTTAATATTAATCTATTATTCAGATTCAATGGCATATAACAACAACAACAGCAACAACAACAACAACTATTCAGATCATAGCTTGAGAGTTGTAATGAATGCTTGGCATTGTTCATTAATAGAAAAACTGAAGCACGTTAAAATGAGTGTGACCACGATAGCTGCTGTTTTTGTTGGTTGTCGTTGAGTTAAACATGACTCATAGTGACCCTGTGAACAAAAGACCTGAAGCCTCTCTATGACTATTATCATTTATCAAAGTTCAAAGAGTTTCCAGAGGCATGTGGTTTAGAAAGTAAATGCCACTCCTGATGGACTAAAAGCTGTCTCCTGAGGAAAGGCTGAAAGACATGGAGATGTATATTTACTGGTTAAACAAGAATCAAAGAGAATTTTATAGTTGCCTATTTGTACTGCCAACCCAGAGGCAGGCAGTTCAAAGTCACCAGCTGCTTCACTGAGAAAGATGAGCAGTCTCCTTCCAATTTATAATCTCTGGAACTGGCTGGAGGTTCAGTTATGAGTAATTTCTGGTTGGAAAGTAACAACAAAACAGCCATTTAGCATTAGTAATTCATATATAGCCACAAGGAATGGTAATTCTAACCCAGAGGTATACAGGCTGGAATCCATCAGCCACTACATGACAGAAAGATAGGCAACCACCTCTCATGAAATTTATAGCCTCTGAAAACTGACTGGAAGATCAATTTTGAGTTGGTTCCAAGTCAACAGCAATGAGGTTTTTAGTGAGAACAGGCCAGAGTGACATCTTTTTCTGTTGTACAAAGAGTAGGTATGAGTAAGAGCTAACTTGATGGCAGTTAGCAACAGCGGCTTTGATCTTGGAAGACAGAAATTATTAATCAAAATGAAGCAGTCCTGGGAGTTGAGTGGACATTAACTTTAAGTGGCATTTCCTAGTTCACAAAGCTAATGTTCTACATGCTGTGAATTCAAGACATAGTGTCTCCCATGAAGAAATCATAGTACTAATGCAAGAGACCAATGGATTATATGAACTTCAATCCCCATGTCCCGAGACTAGAAGAGCTAGAAGGTGCCTGGCTACCACTGCTGACTGTTCTGAAAAGGATCGTTCTTATCTTTAATAAGAGTGGGAGAAAATAGTAGAAGTCACTTAAAAGAACAGCCTTACTGGTCTGACAGAGACTGGTAAAATCCTTGAGACTTTGGTGCTTGTTGTTGTTGTTATGTGCCATCGAGTCGCTTGTGACTCATAGTGACCCTATGTACAAGAGTCCTAAACTCTGCTCTATCCTGTTTCAACCTCATTGTCTCTGACATACCTGTTTCTACCACCCCAATCACTGAATCGATCCATCTCATCGAGGATCTTCCTCTCCTGCACCATCCCTCCATTCTCCCAAACATGATGTTCCTCTCCAAGGATTGATCTCTCCTTGCAAGATGCTCAAAGTACGTCAGACAAAACTTTAGAATGCTTGCTGCCAAAGAGCAGCCTTGGCTTCACCCTCTCCAGGACAAACCTGTTTGTTCTCCTAGCAGTCCATGATATATTCAACCCTCTTTTCCAGCACCACAACTCAAAGGTATCAATTCTCTTTCTTTCATCCCTAGTCCCTGTCCAGCTTTCAGCTAACCTGCAATTGTGAAGACTATAGTCTGGATCAGGTGCATCTTAGTCTGCAGCCTGACATCATTGTTCTTCAGTATTCTGGAGAGGTCCCTGAGAACTGACTTTTCCATTGCAATTCATCTCTTGATTTTCTGCCTGCTGGTACCAAGAATGTTGAATGTAGAGCCAACAGACTAAAACTGTTAACTATTCCAATCTCTTTGCCATTCATAATTATGCTGCCAAGTGGTGAGAATCTTTGTTTGGTTTTTTTTTTATGTTGAGCTTCAATCCATATTGACCTTTTTTTTTTTTAGTTCTTTTTAGTTCTTGACCTTCTGCAGCAAGTGCTTCAGGTCCTCCTCAGTTTCAGCAAGCAGGGTTGTGTCATCTGCACGACACAGGTTGTTGATGACTCTTCCACCAATCCTTATGGCACATTTCTCCTCATACAGCCCAGCGTCCCTGATGATCTGTTCTGCATACAGATTAAAAGGTATGGAGACAGAATACATCCCTAGAGGACGCCTTTTCCAATTTTGAACCATGCAGTGTCTCCTTGCTCTGTTCTGACAACTTTCTCTTGGTCCAAGTATATGTTTCACATAAGCATAATCAAATATTCTGGGATTCCCATTCTTCTCAGAGTGAGCCACAGCTTGTTGTGATTGCCAAAAACGGAAATCACCCCTGTAACTCAACTTCCAGCCACGTGTAGATAGATCTATCAGGTGATTAGTAACATCAAGGAGAGCACATTCCTTAGAAAAAAAAATTTCAAAATGGTAGTATTTTCCCAAGGATCAAGGTCAGGGAGGGATAAGAAAGAAGGATGAATGGGAATGGGAAGCACCCTGAGGTAGTGAGGTAGCAGAAAGAATATTAATACAATGTGAGGATTGTGATCAATGTGAGAAAACACAGTAAGTCTGACTTGTTGACAGAAAAAGGAATTTACTCTGTAAATGTTCACTGAAATCACAACAAAAAGATAAAAATTAGACAAGTTTCTATAAATGAGCATATATCTGGTCAATCATTGGAGATATATATATATATATATATATTTGACTATGACTCATACCTACCCTCCTGGTCCAAGGATAAGTTTTGCATAAGCATTATCAATGTTCTGAGATTCCCATTCTTCTCGTAGTTAACCACAGTTTGTTGTGACCCACACAGCCAAATGCCTTTGCATAGTCAATTAAATACAGATAGACATTCCTCTGGGACTCTCTGCTTTTAGCCAAGATCCATCTCACACCTATACTTGGACCAGGAGGCAGTCAGCAAAACAAAGTAAGGAAACACCGCATCATTCAAAATCAGGAAGGGTGTACGCCAGGGATGCATTCTGTCTCTATAACTTTTCAATCTATATGTGGAACAGATCATCTGGAAGGCTGGGCTCTATGAGGAGGAATGTGGTATTAGGGTTGGAGGAAACTCATCAACAACCTGTGTTATGCTGATGACACAACCTTGTTTGCCAAAACTGAGGAGTTGAGGCGTTTGCAAAAGATCAAGCATTGCAGTCTTCAATATAGACTAAAGCTCAGGATGAATAAAACAAAGATTCTCACCACTGGGCCAATAGGCAGCATCATGATAGATGGAGAAGAGATTGAGATTGTTAACAGCTTCAGGATACTTGGCTCCCCAATCAGCACTCTTGGTATCGGCAGCCAGGAAATCAGAAGATGAATTGCATTGGGAATATCTGCTGTCATGGATCTCTCCAGTGTACCAGCCTGAAAACATAGATATATAAAATTTTAAGAAAATATCTCTTATTAAAGCCTAAAATGAGCAAACAGGAAGGTAATGTACAATGACCAACAATGTTATCACACTTATAATTTTATTTTCCTTCCTTGTCTATCTTTGAGTGTCTGTTCTTTCTTATGTAACAACTTAATCATGTTTTTGACTCTCACCGTATCCACTGAGAGGTAGATGTTGCTGTTGTTTAGTGTCTTCAACTGTCACCCCATGAACCACAGAATGAAACCTTGCCCAATCCTGCTCCATTCTCACAATACTTAAGCCTATTATTGTAATCATGGTGTCATTCCATCCTTTAAGGATCTTCGTCTTCATCAATCTTCTACTTTTAGATGCATAATGTTCTTTTTCAAAGAATGGTCTGTCCTGATAACATACCCAATGGTCCCTCCTGATAATGTACCCTGAAATCTCACCATTCTTGCTGCTTCTAAGAAGCACCCTTGCTGTACGTCTTCCAAGCTAGATTTGTCTGATATTTAGCAATATATTCAAAGGCAGGAATTCTTCTTGTTTTCCTTATTCATCTTCCAACTTTTGCATGCAATATGAAGATATTAAAATATCATGGCAAGGGTCAGGCACGCCTTGGGCCTCTATGTGATCTCCTTGCTCTTTAAAGAGGTCCCTGGCAGTAGATTTGCCCATTTCGATATGTTGCTTAAGTTCTTAACTACTGTTGCAATTGATATTGACTGTGGTTCCAACAGAAGGAAATCCTTGATAACTTCAATGTTTTCTCTGTTTATCATGATATTGCTTACTGGCTCAGTTGTGAAGACTTTTCTTTATGTTAAGGCATGATCTATGTTGAAGGCTTTGCTCTTTCCCAGCAGGGGTTCAAGTTCTCTTCCCTTTCAGTAGCAGTGATTTATCATAAGTTGTTGATTAGCCTTTTGCTAATATTGATATCCCATTCTTCGTCGTGGAGTCCAGCTTCTACAATTATTTGCTCCAGCATACATGTTGAATAGATAAAATGAAAGGATGCAACCCTGGCACACACATTTCCTGATTTTAAACCATGCAATATCCTTTTGTTCTGTTCCAGTGACTTCTTGGTCTATGTACTGATTGTACAGATTCTCCTTTCCCTCTCTTTTTCTGACACAGTCAATACCTGTTCTCTTTGTACTCTCTTTCCCTGTACTGTCTTCCTGGGTTTCTCCTACTCTTCAGACCATTTATCACTTTGTACTTTTCTGCTGCCCAAGGGCCCGTAAGTCATGATTAATTGTTATCTATGAAGAAATAATCAACCTTTTGTAAATGAGATGCTGTAACACAATGAGCTATACAAATAATATGAGTGGAACAAGTACCAGAAGAGAAGGGAAAACACATGTAAGCAAAAAGTGGGACAGATCTGGTTGTGCTAATACACTAGAATGACGTACAGCAGAATATAATGAGTGAAATGTCAGCAACTTTATTTGAAAGTTGCTTCACTTGGTAACTACAAAGATGTTTCTAATAAACATGGACAAATTCCACCTCAATATGCCCCAGTCACTTCTAAACCCATTGATTTTCTTTTTTATTCTTTGGCAGACCTCCTTTTTGCACTAGGTGACTCTTTTACTTCATTCTTTTTCCTCCACTGTTTTATATTCTGGTCCTAGACATGTCACAAAATCTATCATTTTCCTCCATCAATCATTTATTCATTTAACAAATTAAGGCAATAAATCCATGTGGATTTTCTAATCTATATCAAGTACTATCCTGGATACTAAGGTTTAAAGGCATGTCTAAGATGTAATTTCTTCATTAAAGGAAATTACAGCCTACTGAAAGAAACAGAGATTTAATGCAAATAAATTAATATTGTAATAAGTATATTCAGGACTTGGTAACGATCAAGAGAATTGAAAAATTCATTTTTCCCATTGACCATATAAAAGTTTTGTAAAAGTGAAATAGAAGGTTAAAGATGCATCTACTGAGCTTTGATCCCTTTCTGATTTTAAAACAAGCAGTGTTCCCTTGCTCCAATTGGAAAACAGCATCTTGATCTAAGTATAGATTTCTCATGAGCACAGTCAAGTATAATAGTATTCCAATTCTCAATGTTAGACATAATTTGTTTTAATCCACATAGTCAAATACCTTTGCATCATCAATAAAATACAAATGGATATTCTTCTGGTAGTCTCTGCTTTCACTCAGGATCCATCTGACATCCACTGATTTCCCTGGTGACATGGCCTCTTCCAACCCCCACTTAAACTTCTGGCCATTCCCCATCAATGTAATAATGTTCCAGCAGTTTTGGGATGATCTTCAGCAATATTTTGCTTTCCTGTGACATTAATGATATTGTTGTATAATTTCCGTATTCTGTAGAGTCACTTTTCTTGGGAGTGTAAACAAATTTTAATCTCTTCCAGTCAGATAGTCGGGCAGCTGTTTTCCAAATTTCTTGGCATAGACTGGTGAGGATATCCAGAGTTGTATCTTTTAGTTGGCACTTACCAATTGGTATTCCATTGATTCCTGGGGCCTTATATTTTGCCTGTGCCTTCAGTGAAGCTTGAACCTCTAATACTTGATTGTCACTGGTTCTTATTCATGTGATACATTCTGAAATTTTTCAGTGTCAATAAATTGTTTTTTGGTAGGGTGACTCATCAACATCCTGTGTTATGTAGATGACAAAATCTGGCTTGCTTAAAGTGAAGAGGATGTAAAACACTTTTTGCAGAAGATCAAGAACTACAACCTTCAGTATGGACTACATCTCAGCAGGAATAAAACAAAGGCCCTCACTACAGGACCAACAGCCAACATCATAATAGGTGGAGAAAAGATTGAAACTTATAATCTTGCTTGGATCAACAATCAAAATCCTTGGTATCAGGAAATCAAAAGATGTATTGAATTGGGCAGTCCGTTGTCAAGGACCTCTCCAAAATACTTAAGAAAAAGGATGTCAGTTAGAAGACTAAAGTGCACCCGATTTAGGCCATGGCCTTTTCAATCAGCTGCTATGCATCAGAGAGTTAGACAATAAAAAGGGATGACATAATAAGTATTGAAACCTTTGAGGTGTGGTGCTGGGGAAGAGTACTGGTTATACCAAGAACTGCCAAAAACCAAACAGATGTATCTTGCCTTCTTGGAGGCAAAGATGGCTAAGTTCATCTCTCATACTTTGAACAAGTAGCTAGGTGAGACTATTTTGAGAAAAGACATCATGCTTGGAAAGACAGAGGGTCAATGTAGGAAAGGAAGACCCTGAGTAGATGGGTTGACACATTGACTGCATAAAAAGGCTTAAGTGTATGAGAGATGATGAGGATGGCACAGGATAGAGCTGGGTTCAGATCTATTGTTCACAGGATCATTGGGAGTTGAATTTCACTTGACAGCATATAACAACAACACAACTGGGCTTTGAAGGATGAGGAGAAATCTACCTGGAGCAAGGCAGACATGCTTTTAAATATCTGATATGATGTTCATGTATCATACAGGATATAGCTAGGACTGTCTTTTAGTTTGTTACTCTCGCTAAATCTGATCATGGGATGGAGGTGGTCAGGGAACACATTACACTGATGGTTTGTCCTCCCTTTCCTCCCCCTTTTTTCCAGGCAGAGGAACGCACTAGATACTTCTCAGTCTTCTACCTGTCCATCAATGCAGGGAGCTTGATTTCTACATTTATCACACCCATGCTAAGAGGTTAGGATCTGTTCTGAGGAATTATTCCAGACAGTGAAAAAATTGTTTTAGAGTCCTTTCTGATTTTTTTTAAAGTCTTGATTTGTCTGGTCCAAAAGAAAGATTATGGGATTAGTTGATGGGAGGAATGAGAATGGTTATGTCTATGACATAAAAAACCTGAGTTTACCAGATAAGATAACAAAGATTCAAGTCTCAGTTATTCTTTTACTGTTTTTCATTTTCTTTTAGGAGATATTCAATGTTTTGGGGAAGACTGCTATGCATTGGCTTTTGGGGTCCCAGGATTGCTTATGGTGATAGCTCTTGGTAAGTGAAATGAGGAAAAGGAACACATACCTGCCATGAGGGAAGCATTGTGGAGGCACACCACAAAAACGGTTTCTTCATTCCTCACAATAACCTTGTTTTTTGTTGTTGTTAGGTCACACTAAGTCACCTGTGGCACATAGCAACTCTATTTACAATAGAACGAAAATCTCCAAAATCCTGCACCATCTTTACAATTTCTGCATTGTTGCAGTTATGGTGTCAATCCGTCTTACTAAATTCTTTGAGTCTTTTCCTTATGTTTTGCTTTTCTAAGCATAATTCTTTTCCAGGAACCGTCTTTTCTTAATAACATGTCTAATGTATATGAGATGAAGTCTCACTATCCTTGTTTCTAAGGAACACCTGGTTACGTTTCTTTTTTCTCTTTTTTATGGTGAAATTTTCTCTTTTTTTATGGTGAAATTGACAAAGAAAATTGGTTTTCCATTCAACCATTCCTGCACATCTTGTTTTATAACATTAATTACAACACAAAAATGCAATCACACTTTCCAAGTTTCTTCCCTTATTTATTTCCATTAAGTATATCTGCTGCTAACTGTATGTCTAGTGTGTCTCTGTGTTTTCCATTTGATTAGAGCAGTGTGCTGATCACTGTCTTTTTTTTTTTAATTGCCTTTCCCTTCACCCATCTTTTTGTTGTTAGGTGTTATCAAGTTGGCTACCATTCATATCGACCCTATAATAACAGATGACAATCTTGCTTTATCGTACTCCACTCTCACCGTCTCTGACATGCTTAAGTCCACTATTGTGGTCACTGTGTTAGTCCATCTCCATGATGGTCTTCCTCTTTTTTTATTGGCTCTCTACTTTTCTAACCGTGATGTCTTTTTGCTATGGACTAGCACCTATTGAGAGCATGCCCAAAGTATGTAAGACAACATTTCACCTTTCTTGCCTCTAAAATGCACCCTGTTTGCTCACATTCCAAAGTGGATTTGTTTGTTCTTATGGCAGTTCATGGTGTATATGATATGCTTCACCAACACCACAGTCCAAAGGCATCAATTCTTCTTCAATTTTCCTTATATATTGTCCAACTTTCCATGCATATAAACCAATACTACATCTTGCATCAAGCACACTTTAGTCTTTAATATTAAATCCTTCATCTCTAGCACTTGAAAAAAGTCCATGATTGTTGATTTGCTCAATGAAACATGCCTTCTGTTTTCTTTATTCCTGTTACTGTGGGTATTGATTGTGGATCCAAGTAAAAGGAAATCTTTGACAACTTCAATAATTTCTCTATCTATCATGATGTTGTCTAATGGCCTAGTTATGTGGATATTCGTTTTCCTGATGTTGATATGTAATTCATATTAAACTGTTGTTATTTTTATTATTAAGTGCCATAGAGTAGTAGAAAACCCATGTTGTTGTTGTTGTTATGTGCCGTCAAGTCGTTTGCGACTCATAGCGACCCTATGGACAACAGCCCTAAACCGTGCTCTATCCTGTGCCAGTTTCATTGCCTCTGACACACCCATCCTGATTACCCCAGTCACTGAATCAATCCACCTCATAGAGGGTCTTCCCCTCCTGCGCTGTCCCTCTACTCTACCCAGCATGATGTCCCTCTCTAAAGACCTGTCTCTCCTTACAACATGTCCAAAGTATGTCAGACGAAGCCCCAGAATCCTTGCCTCCAATGAGTAGCCTAGTTTAACCCTCTCTAGGATGAATCTGTTTGTTTTCTTGGCAGTCCATGGTACCACAGCTCAAAGGCGTCAATTCTCCTTCTATCCTCCCTAGTCATTGTCCAACTCTCTGATGCATAACAAGTGATTGCAAAAACCATGGCCTGTATAGCGACCCTATTAATGAAACTCTTGAATGCAAAACGTTCATCTTTTCTCCAAGTTCATAGAGTTTCTGAAGGCAAGCTTTTTTGGAAGTAGATGCCACTCCTGCTATTGAACACTGTAGTCTTTGATATTCTTCTATAAGTGCTTCAATTCTTCTTAAATTTCTGAAAGCAAGGTTGTGTATTTGTACAATGCAAGTTGCTGATGTGTCTTTCTCCAATCCTTTGCCACATTCTTCTCCACTAGTCTAGTTCTCCATGTAGTCCAGCTTCTCGAATGATTTACTTAGCATATAGATTAAGTGTAAATCTATTCTTTCACTCATATTACTATATGTCAATTATCTATTAATTTTTACACCTATCTCCCTCCCTTTCCATACCTGGTAACCATCCAAAAATTATTCTTTCTGTTTGTAAATTTACTTTAGTTTTTTAATGATAGTGGTATTATACAGTATTTGTCCTTTGATGACTGACTTATTTCACTCAGCAAAAGGTCCTCTTGATTATTCCATGTTTTGAGAATTCTTTATTATTATTTAATGTTAGATGGTATCCATTATCTGAATGTACTATACTTTCTCTAACCATTTATCCAATTACGGATTGTTGTTAGGTGCTGTCAACTCTAGTATGACTCATAGCTATCCAATGAACAAAAGATCTGAACCCTGTTCTATCCTGCACCATCCTCACACCTCCTAACACACAAGAACCCATTGCAGAGTCACTGTGCCAATCCACCTGGTTGAAGGTCTTCCTCTCCTTCACTGGCCCTTCACCCTTCCCAACATCATGTCATTCTCCAAGGAATGCTCCAAGGAATACTTTTTAGGCACATACCCAAATTATGTGAGGCGAAGCCTCATCATTCCTGCCTCCAAAGAGCACTGTGGTTGCACTCTCTACAAGACATATTTGTTTGTTCTTTTGGCTGTCCATGGGATTTTCAGTGCTCTTCTCCAGTACCACAGTTCAAGGGTGTCAATTTTTTTTCCTATCATTCTTATTCATTGGGTTATTTCCATCTCTTTGTTTTTTAAATAATGCTGCAACAAACATGAGTATGCATATATCTGTCCATTTGTTTAAAAGGCTATCTTAAAAAAAAGACTATCTTTCCCCCATTTACTGAATTTCATCTCTTTATCAAATATCATGTGAACATAGATGGATAGATTTGCTTCCGGGTTCTCAATTCTATTCTCTTGGTCCATGTATTTGATGCTATGCCAGTGCCAGGCTGTTTTGATTACCACTGCTGTGTAGTAGATTTTTAGATATGGAAGTGTAAGCTCTCCTTCTTGTTTTTCTGTTGTGATAGTGTTTTATTTATCTAGGGTCTCTTTCCTTTTCATATAGAGTTGATTATTTTTTCCATCTCTTTAAAGAATGATGATGGGGTTTGAATTGGAACAACTGAAGTTATTCCAAGACAGATTTGTTTTTTTCATGATCGTGATGCCATATTCTCAGATTAGTTGCCCAGAATATACATTAAATGGAGCTGTGGTGGCCTAATGATGAGAAGCTGTGCTGCAATCCTGAAGGCAGGCAGTTCGAGGCCACCAGTTGCTCTGAAGGAGAAGAATGGGCAATCTCCTCCCGTGTGATTAACTGCCTCTGAAAACCTGTGAGAGGGTCAGCTATGGGTTGGTTCCAATGCGACTGTACACAACTACAATGACAACAGAGATCTTTGGTGGCTTAGTGGTGACAAATTGTGTTGCAATCTCAAAGGCTCATGGTTCAAACTCACCAATTACTTCATGGGAGAAAGATGAATTTTCTCTTCACATGTGATTACCTGTCCCTAATCCTGTTAGAGGGTCATCTGTGGGTCACTTCCAACTCAACGGCACACAACAACAACAACAGGTGTGGTGAAAGGATACAACTCTGATGTACACTTTTTCTGATTTTATTTTATTTATTTATTTTTTTACTTTTTCTAATTTTAAATCATGTGATATATCTTTATTCCTGGTTGAACAAATACTTCTTGATCTATTTACAGTTTCTACATGAGAACCAATTATGATTATAACTAATTATGATTTACACAGTTAAATGTCTTTGCATATCCAATAAAACAAAAATAAACATCTTTCTAGTATTTTTTACTTATAGTCAAGAACTATCTGACATTACAATGATATCCTTTGTCCTATGGCTTTTTTCTGAATCCAAGTTGAATATTTGAAAGTTCCCTGTAGTGATTGAAGTATAGTTTTTGAAAACTGTAGTTGTTTTGTTTTTTTAACTACTACGGTTTTAAAAATAACTCAATTGTTTTTTAATAATCTTTAGCAAGTACTTTGTGTAATATTAATGATATTAGACAATGTTCTCATTCTGTTGGTTCACTTTTTTTTAAATGTTAAAAAATATAGGCTTCTTCCAGCTCAGGTCAAATGTTTTGGCTCAGATGTGGGAGCACATCCAAGGCTGTATCTCTTTGTTGAAACACATCAACTGGTATTCTGTCATCTCCTGGAACTGTATTTTTTACTAATGCTTTCAGTACAGCCTGGACTTGGTCCTTGATCATATACTATCCCCTGAAATGATTGAGCATAGAATATTATTTTTTATATAGTGATGCTGTGTATTTGTTCCATCTTTTTAAATGCTTTTTGTTAGGTAAGTGTTAGTATAGAAGTTTACCCTATCCTTTAGCTATAAGGTGATTTGAATGACTCTAGAAATCCTAATAATTTTTAAAAATGTACCAAGATAAAGAAGTTTTTAAAATGACTGACTTTTTGTATCCCTACTCCCAAGGCTAATTAAATAAGGATCTCTTCACCGTGGCTCCTGAAATGTGAATTGTTTCACATACTTTAGGTTGTTTAAATATGTACTCAAGGTTGAGATTTACGCTTTATATCACAATATACGAGGATGCATGGAAGACATTTCTCCCTCTAAAACTATTATGTGTCCCTGGAGTCAGAACTCATAGCTGACCCTCCAGTGGGTTTTCAGACGGTGCAAATCATGAGAAGATTGACTATTTTTCCTCCCTCTGTACAACTGGTGGATTCAAACAGCATACTTTTGGTTAGCAGTACAACTCTACCGTTAGGTCACCAGATCCTACTCCTTCTAAAACTAGTTTGTGTAATATAATATATGATCATAGGGTGAAGGGACAGCACAA